AATAGATGTAATGCTTCTTTGAAGGTTAAAGCATTCAATAAATACGATATTAAACACAATTCAGTATCAAGATAACTAATATTTTATTTGCTAGGCAGCTAGTAACCAGATTCTTTAGACTCACCATATCCCAAGCATTAAAATATAAAAGCACTTTACTGCTTTTATTTATCACTTCTATTACATTCACCAGATATGTGTTTTTTAATCTAAGTATTATGTTTCCTCTAATTCTAGGAGATCAATATTTTAATGGTACAAACCATAAATCACCCTGTGATGATTTATGGTCTATGCTGTTAGCTGTTGGATTATATATACACTGATCTATCATGAAGGTTGCTGGTACGGTATTCTTGGTTGTAACATCAATAGACAAAATCTGAATTTCTATTTCTTTCTTCCTTCCTTTCTTTATCTTTCTTACTTTGTTTCTTTCTGTCCCAAACTTACCATAATTGCTATCATCAAGAAAAAATATCAAGCAAGCTTTTGCAATGTATTCTACTACTTGTTGGAGGTACAGATTGATAAAACGCACTCTACCTGCCCTGTCTCCAAGTAAATTGCAATCTAGTTGAAGATACAGGATGTACACATAAAAAAAAAAAAACTAAGTCATACTACAAGGTAATATAATGAAACACAACAAATGGGTGGTAATGATAGTACAAACTATAAAAAATTTTCAAAAACGAAGAGATCATTTTGTTCTAGGACTGTTGAAGCAACAGAATAGAAGCAACTTGAAGGAAATGTAAGATGTAGATCAGCAGAGGCAATGAGTTTGGATTCTAGTAAGGAAGAAACACACACACACACACACACACACACACACACAGTAGACAAGGAAGTTTGTGGATGCTATTATGAAATCCAAATCAGCAAAAAAATACATCATCAGAAGGAAAACTGACAAGCCTATATATGAGGAATATTGGAAAATATCCTTTATTCATGTGTTCTCTCTAATCTTATTTGATGTCACTGATCATCAAATGCTTGAAAGCTTAGTTTAATTCAATTTAAGTCAGAAAATATTTTAAGCACTTATATATACAGGTATACAATGGCTCAGTAACAAAGTTTTCAAATGAATGGGTGCTTTGAATGTTTATAGACAGTCTTTTAAAATGTAATGTTCTATTACTAATTACTAATACTAATTAAGACGTTTCTTGTCCTCTGGGATCTTACAGTTTAGAAGCTTACCACGTAGGAGTTATTCGATTGCTTTTTTTGAAATACTCTTTCAACTATTTTCTAAAAATCATGAGTGCAAACAAGAGTCTTTGGAATATGCTAAGTATCTTTGCCAAGAAAACCCCAAACAGGGTCATGAAGAGCCAGGTACTGCGGAACCGACCAAACAACAACAAAAATTCTCTCTTAAACTTCATCATATTGTGCAGATGACTCCATTCTTACTAAACTAAAATTCTTACTAAATTCTAATTTGACTGGCAAGAAAAAAATTCAAGTCTATAGATGGTTGTTATTTTTGTAGTTTATACTGCTGATTTAGTCATAGATCATGAAACAATCTACTGAGAGTTGGAAGGTCTAGAGTGTTCATCAATGTAGGAATTCCCTATGCCTGTGAAATCACAGGCCTTTTCAAGGATTCCTGTATTACAGCATTTGACAGTTCTTTATATATAATTAGGCTATTGATGTAACTGTTGAATCTATATCTAATCATTGGGTTCCATAGCAGACCCAAGGAGAAAGATATAAATATGAATTATACCTTTCATGAAAAGAGGACCTGAATCTTTAGAAGTTTTCCATAACAATTCAACAAAATCCCCACTGGATCCTTCTGGCTGCTGTTTCTCTCTTTTTATCACTGTATCTCTTGCATTTTGCTCTGGCTTCCTTGATGTTTCCCACATAAGACATTCCATCTGACTCCACGCTTAAAATTTTGTCCTTGATTTCTATTTCTTGACTTCCTTAAGTCCAAGCTAAAATCCTACCTTCTACAAGAAGCCTTTCCTGAGTCACCTTAACCCTAGTGCCTTCTCTCTGTGGATTATCTCCATTTTATCCTGTAGACATCATTTTATACAGTTATTTGCATGTTGTCTCTCCTATGAGACTGTGAGCCCCTTAATAGACTTACTCTGTATCCTTAGTGCTTAGCACAGTGCCTGACAAACAGCAGTTGTTTAATAAATGTTTGCTGACTTGAAAGCTTACTGAGCCTTTGTATGCAAAAGGAAGATAGTATCTTCCTCCAAGAGACTCCAGCTTAGTATATTTACTTACATACACCACTATCCCAGAAATGTTCAAATAGGGATGATTCTAACTTGAGACAGGAATTCAACAACATGAGCTGGACAGGAAGGGTGATACCTGGAATTCATATGGGTACATAACAAGGAGCTTTGCTAGGTCCGAAGGGAAGATGGAGTCAGTATTTCCACTTGCGAAGGTGTATATGTCTCATGGGTAGCAGGAAAGAGGAGGGAGAGCACTGTGAAGGAGGGACTCTTATGGCTGAATGACTTTTATTTATGAAGAAACTATGATTCTTAGAGTGAATTAAAAAAAAAACTTGAAAATAGGCTTGCTATGAACGTGCCATGCCCTTATTTAGCTATGCTCTGCTTGTTACATGAGGGAAGAGTAAGTATATGGAATATTTCATAATGCTCTTTGGCCTATTTTTCTTTTTTTTTTTTACATCTTTGCATTAAGACAAACAATGTGTTGTCAAAAATATGCTGATTGCTATAAAATATAGTAGAATCATTAGAAATATGTTTTTGCCTGTTTTTTTTTTCTGAGCTGCACTTGGTTTTTAAATTTTGCATCTCAGTATGAACTTAATTTTTTTGAAACTTATGAACTTATGAATCTAACATGTGAATTCTAACCAAAGAACTATTTCTAATTAGTATCTCAGAAAATATTATTTTTGAAGTATTTTAAATATAAAAATGTGTACTCTCTGTCTTTTCATATATGTGTATACATACATACAAGTATTTAGGTGTGTATATATATGGATATGTGCAATACATGTATACATATATGTGTGTATGTGTGTATATATATGTGTGTATATATGTATATATATAATATATATGTATATATATGTATATATGTATATATATATGTATACATATATATATATATATGGAAAAAGTACAATGGACCAAAAAGAGTTTTTAAATGAAATAGTTTGAATGCTTATAGAATAATTTCATAAGTATAATAGTGTGTATTATAGTCTTTCTTTGTACAGACACTATTATCCACTCTCTGTAACCTCTGACTTTAAAAACCATTTAGAATTCTTGGAGACTGCACTTCAGAACCAAGTATACAAACATACACACATGTGCACATGTGCATATATACATAGATACACTCATCCTACAAATACGATTTTAGCCTATTTTAATTACAATGTCTCTGCTTGATGCAAAATGTAAAACAAGAAATCTATAAAACTCTAGCATTATCACCAATCCAAATTTATGTAAAGTGGCAAATTTGTAAATCACAAAATGAAAAAGAATGAAGTTAAACATTAAGCCAAATGTAAAGTCTTTATAAGTAAGGACTCTCAGGTGAACCTACAAGTAGTTGTATATATGGACATTTACTCACTCAGTTGAGACTGAGAATCAATTATATTGCTATGTCAAAAATTAGTATGCTTAAAAATATTTAACTGACCTAAGAAAAAACAGATAAAATTGAGGCAAGCATAAAGCTGAGCAGTCCAACAAAGTTCACTAGAAGGCTCCTCCCTCAAGTCGTAAAACTAAATAGCTTATTTTATCCTCGGAAACTTGCATTAGATGTTAGTGTTAGACCTGAAATCTGAAAAACACTTTCAACGTTTTGACTAAAAAGTGATGAAATTGTATGTGCACAAACAAGAATGGTTTAAGCAAAGGTGGCCTTATTGGAATAAGTGTATATCTTCTCCAGTTGATTACTGTAAAGGACAGATGACAGATCTAGAGTTCAAAGTTCATCTAGTCCAACTTTTTTTTTTTCATAAGTCAGGAAGCCAGGGCCCAGAAAAGTAATAGTAACTAATCAACAGTCACACAGGTGGTGTCAGAGAAAGAACTTGAATCTAGGTCCTAACTCTAGAGGCCTTTCTACCTTGCCACACTGCCTACCATAAATGAGACTTGTATTTGCTTTTAAAGAGTCTACAAACCTTAGGTACAATAAAAGCCTTCATGAACTGTCTCACCCCCTTTTCCATTTTATTTTTTGCCACCATCTCACTGAGTTTATGAATGACAGTTATGTATATTCTATCCTGACATTTCAGCAGCTTATCTGACACACATGCTTTTGAACTCAGCTCTTCTGATTCCAGATCTCTCAGAGTTTGTAAGCTTTAGATATACAAATTCTGACATGAATTTTTTTCAGAGTTCATCTCTTTATTTATAATTGTGAAGAAGAAACACTATAGGACACTGCAGGACAGGTGACCTCAATCCTTTTTTAAAACCCATTTCTGATAGTTGAGATTCCCCTTGGACTCCTTTGGACCCTAGATGGAAAATCCCCAAATAGAGTACAAATTCTTGTACTCTAAAACGTAAACTGTACTTTGCATCAAATGTCATGAGAAGCTATGTTAAGATTTGTAGAAACTAGACTTACATGTTATAAGAGGTGTTTGTTTTTGGCACCTTGTTTCAGCTATTTCAGTAGTTCGTTAGTTAACTCATCCCCCCGCCAAAAAAAACCCAAAAAACCTTGAGATGCTTTGATAAATTTTTTTTTTATTAAAACTTCCTATAAAAATACATACCGGAGAGATGTCATCTCTTCTAATTTCAATACCCTGTTTAATAAATCATTCTGTCGAAATCTCCATTTCAAAACACGGAGCTCTTTTCAGTATGATACAGAGTTTTGTTTAAAAAAATAAATAAATAAAGTTCAGTTTCCCGGTTCATTGTGAGGAGAACAGAAGGAAGGAAAGAGCTTTCGCAGGAATCGCCAGTGCTCTGATTTATTTTTAATTGCTTCCTCTTAACTAGGGCAATTTTAATTTGGCGATGTTATGTTTGTATGCATGTGTGTATGCGTGCATCTGTGTGCGTGTGTTACATTTTTCTTTTTTAAGTCTTTTCCAAATACTAACAGTTAATTCATAAAAGGCTTGTTTCCTCCATTCCCAGGATAGGATGGGAAGGCTTAGACAAGCAGCCGCTTTTGCTAGCCTCTGGGGATGGCGGGAAGCCTCTTCCCCTCTTTTCGTCCCAGTCACCAATCCCGGTCCTGCTCATTGTGTAGTTAGTTCTGGCTTCGATCCGGCTCCCGATACCTAAGACAATAGCGCCGCTTGCAGCCTCCTGGAGAGAACAAACCCCAGTCCTAGAGCAACACCTTTGGCGGAGCAGATGCTTTGGATGTAAAGATACCTATCCGGCTCACCTCTTTCCCCCTTCCCCTCCTGGGCGTGGTGAAGGTGAAGAGTGGCGCGTGAGGGACGGTTGAAACGACTCTGGACAATTTCCAGGCACTCCTGCAAGCCACAGACTCCTGTGCTCCCCCAGCTCCCCGAGACCAGTTTGCTTTGGGCTGTGCTGCTTCCCCCCGCTATTGACAACTCGGGTTTATTTGCTTGTAGCCAGTCCTGCGCCCACTCCAGCTCACTCCTCCCGAGCTAATTCAACTGCCGTTTTCTTCCTGCGGTGTGGTGTTCTTTTTTTTTTTCCCCTTCCCCTCCTAGTCTTCATCAAAGGTGGCTCTGTTATTGAAACATGAAGCTCTTTCCTCTCCAAAAACCTTGGTTACTTAAGGCGGGAATCAATGGATCTATGTACTCCCTCTCTAGTTATAAATAAATGTCTGTTTGCTCAGAAGGAGTGTTCCATCTATGTCCCACCATCTTCTTCATACTTATTTTAGGGGTGTGTGTGTGTGTGTGTGTGTGTGTGTCCCCATCTGGTTCTAATATTGGGCAGTAGATACATAACCCCAACCCCACCCACCCAGTCTTCCCCCTTTCATCCCCCCAAATCGCATTCCTCACACTATAAATAAATCCAGGTTGCCTCTTCTGTCACCGAAGGCAATACAATTGGTTTGTTAAGAAAGATTTAAAAAGCAAATACCACCACTGAACCCAGTAAAACAAGGGAAGAAAGACTGCATCTGGCAGAGTTTGGTTTAGATGTGCCCCTCAACTCTGCAGCTTTCATCCTTTTTTGCAGCTGTCTGCTCTCTACTTTACCTTTCCAAGTCCAATTTATTTCTGATTTGTTTGTTGTTGTGTGGCGTGTTTTTGTCGGAGGAGAGGAAGGGGAGGATATCCCACCCATTCTTGGACTTTCTTCTAAGAGGGTTGGCTCCAGCAGCAGCAGGTCCCAAGTAGCCTGTCCCAGAGAGCCTAACACACACTTTACTGCTTCTGAGATCATTTCACTGGAGACCCTCCCCTCCCTTCAACATCTTTAGTTTTGTTTTAAATTTGGTGGGGTGAGAGCAGGAGGTGTGGTGGGCCGGGGGGCTGGTGAGTGTGTGTCTGCTGGGGCTGCCTTTTTTGAAGAAAGGGCAGGAAGGGCAGGGGACTCTGCTCTGAACAGAGAAGAACCTCTCATCTAAGAGGAACGCTGTGCTTTCCCCCTCCCATCCCCCCGCCCTCCCTGAAGTTTGCATGGAGTGCACGTTGGGCTATAATTAAGGGATCTTGGAGGCGTACTTTGCTTATGACGCGTTGCTTTTCTTTTGCCTTCAGTGAAAAAGTGGCTCCTTCTTCCCTGGATCAGGACCTCTGCCATTGAGAGGCACAAAGAGACATTCTGGACATACTCACACTCACACATACACACACACACACGCACACGCACAGTCTTAAGGTGAGCAAGAAGAACTCTGCCTTCACTTTACCTCCCGTTTTCAACTTCAGCAGAACTTGAGAGCACCTCAACTTCTGGAGCTCAGGACAAGGTAAAAGTTTTAGAATTGATGGTTTTCTTTCCCTCTTGTAAGATGTTCCTCAAGGATTGCCTTCAAGAATTCAGAACACATACTGAAAATAGATTGATTTTTTTTCTTTAAACATACACTTTTTTTCTTTCGAATTTAACTAATTTGAGAATGACAGCTGAATATGACATCCTCGTGTTTAGTATCTGAATTGTGCAACTTTTAAGGGTCTTATATTAACAGATAAAATATCTTATTGCAGTCCACAGGTCAGTCTGCAATGTGAAAATTATATACTTGACTCGGCTGGCTTTCTCCTGAATACTATAAATCTCCTAGATTCATGGTTTCCAAGTGGTGACTTTTCCAACTCTATTCCAACAGGAATTTACAGCACCTGGAATGAGAAAAGGCATAGTGCAGACTGAATGAAAAACTGAGGAATGGAAGTGGGAGTGACCATTCCAAATTTATGAGTTTTAAGGAAAAGGTGGTCTTGTGTGATATAAGTTGTTAGAGTCATCAGTCCGATTGATCTTTGAGATAAGGCATCTTTCTTTGGCTCAGGCGCTTAGTGCTAATTGGAAAGGTAAGGCACTGTGGAATCTGAGCAATTATGAAATGTAGGCAGATAATGGGTAGATATACTTGAAAGTACTTCTATTTTAAATCACAGGCTTGAAGCCATTTTAAGAGTTTGTGAAGTGGCTTTCACTGCCAGGGCAAAACTATGAACGGTTTGGGGTTTGGATGCGACAAAAGTTCTTAGGTTGAATACAGTTGCTGTGTTCAAAATCTAATGTTATATTTTCATTTATGCCTGGAAAAATACATAGAGTGACCAATACATTTGGGAATTTTCATGGTGGAAAGTGTGCCTGTACATGTTCCAGTGTGATGTCATAAAATCAAACAGACTGGTTTCTTGGAATCTAACGGTTTTTGAGAAAGGAAACCTGTGAATTCAGTCCTCAGTGTAATACAGTATTTATTCACTACAAATGGAGTTTTCTGGTAACCATTTCCATTTGATGATTCCGGTGAACTCAATTAGCCTTTATTTCCAACAGTTTCAGTGAAGAAATAATTTTAAAAGTTTTAAATTGTCCTATTATAAATATATAATACATTATTTTTGAATAACTCATTACATGACCTTTCCTAATCTTTATAACCACTTGTTGGCATTGGCTCAGTCCTTTAACTTTTTTATATTTTTTCTAACTTTACTGTAGACCCAGTGTTCAAATTGATTAACAACCCAAGTCTATCCTTGGAAACCAACCTATCTTCCAACTCATAATAAAATTTATATATGAAGAAAGGGTTTTTCTTCACTTTCAGTGAACTAAGAAACAGAAAGCTGAGAATGTATACCCAGGGAATATTAAATCTTTTCAAATCTTAAGCTCCAGGATACTTTATCATAAAGCTTCAGTTTTCATAATTTTAATATTATTTTAGCTAAGAAATAGACAAAAATTCAACTCAATTAACTTCATTAATTACAAAGTTATTTTAAAAGGGGGGGGGAGTCTAGATTCAGAAAAATACCACTTTTTTTTAACTGATTCTTTAAAAATGTGCCTAGAGTCCCATCTTCCTAATAAGAACACCCAATGGCTGAGAAACAAGAAGAAAGTTACAGCATGTTCTTATGAAGTGAACCATTTATTTGCAGCAAACCCCTGTCTCTCAGACAACTGAGTGACAGTCTAATTCAGAAGTACTGGAGAGGCTTGCACAGAGAAGAATCATTCATTATATCCCTAGTGGTTTCATTTCCTTTCCTTTCCCTTGGGAGCTAGCAACACATCCAATATAAATATATTCTGAATATATAGTAAGATACTTCATGGGTAGTAGTTCTTCTAAGCAAAGTTTGGAAAATGCAGTGCTGCCTTTTAGCCTGTTGGGTGTGGTAGGTTTGCTACTTCCTGACAAACTGAAAATTTTAGAATCCTGATGTCTACCTGCATAGAAGTTTTCAGAATAATAATTAATGATCACATATAGAAATTAATTCTCTTCCTTTGAAAATTTCATTACTTAAACTTGCCTTTTTCTTTTCAAGTAGTTTTTACCTCATGTTCTGCATGTTTAAATTGTTCAAATAGCCAACCAATTTAAATTCCAACAAAATGAAAAGTGAATTTGAAAAATCCTTTTCCGATTACAACCTTTTTTTCTTGCTCTTAATGAATTTTTAGACATTCTGGCTCCTCCATTAGCAACCATAGTATTTAGTCTTGTGCTTAAAAGGTAGCCTGTAATTTAGAGGTAACAAAATGTTCTCAGGGGTTAAAAAAGAAAAAAGGGGGGGGGTTCTACATGTACTTAGGATTTCAATCAATAGTGTTTAAGGAGGATTAGAGGAAACAGCTGGTTAAACAAATATTAGGTGTAGAGTGGATGCAATGGTATAAATTAATAATGCAGTCCTTTATTTACTCTGTGAATGGGAGGTTTTGTGAAGGTTATGTGAGTTAAGAGATGGTCACTGTGTGCCACCTAGTGGATGCCTCAAGGAAATTTTTCACTGTCCTTTTCCAATGAGGATCAATCAGTAACAGATCCTGCCTATGAAGTACAACTGGTGAACTTGGGCAATTCTAGCAGAATGAAAGCACCAGCTGGTAGGGTTTGTTTTGGGGTGGTTTTTCTTGGTATTGTTGTTATGAACTGCCCACTTGTAGCATTAAAATAAGTCCGGCTCTTGTAGGAGGCAGCTTGACACCAACAGATTTGTTTCCATGAGGATACTGAATCATTCAGTAAAATATAGACAACTCACACCTCACACTGGACTGATTTTTAGCAGCGATGTATAGCTGTTAGTGGGTAGAAGGGTGGAGAGACTTTTGACATTTCATATGAATCATTTCTGAAACTGAATAAGTGTCTGCAAAATCCATTGCTGATACGTGTAATGAGTGGCAAAGGGAAGATTATATGACCCAAGTAGGTTATAAGCACATGCTAGTACAGAAGCTTCTATTTGGTCAGAAATTTTATACAAATTATGTGTGTGTGAATATATGCACACATACATACATATATGTATGTGCATCTATATAGATATAGAAATATTTCTTTTATTGGAAACGAATACTGGTAAAAAGGTTGTTGGGCTTTTTTTTTTACAGTGGTTGGGTTGGGTATTATTTTACAAAATATTTGCTTCTGTGCGAAGTTTAAGAGAAAAGGCAAGACTACTAACATATGGAATGTCTCCCTTATATTCCCTCTTCTTATATATGGATTCAAAGCAGCATCTCCTTGCTTCCCCTTAATTAATATTGGAATAGAAATTCAAGACATAATCAGTTACATGAAAAACAACCATTTAAAAGAGGTGTTAGGATATCATGTAAGAGTAATCCATCTGAAGACAGCAATGGGTGTTTTGAAAACTTTTCTCTAGAGGTATATGAATTATTACTTTAATAGGCTCTTAGCATGATATATGAGGTAATGGCTACAGTGTTGAAGCTGTAGCAATAGGAAACTTTGCCTTTGCATTAATCAAAAAAAAAGTTCTGAAATTCAAATTGTGCAAGGTAAAATGTCTCAGCAGAAAAAAATGATTCATTTGTTATATGCTGTGCTCTAGAGGTATAATCAGCAAATATGGTTTGCCTGCTGGCCTGCAATAGAAATTTCCATCCAAGGAAACTTTTAGTTCTGTATATAGCCATAGGCTAAAAACAGGTCTTATTATCTTAATATTTACTTTCAAGAGCTCTATCTCCACCAGAAATATACCATTATATGATTTGTGAGTTAAGACGAAAGATTTACTGCCAGCTAGAGAAAGACAACTTAAACTTCAAATGAAATTTAATTAGAGGAAATACAGATTCACTTGAAGAATAGTCATTAGCATAGCATCCATAAGACATTATTAACAGTTTCAAACCAAAAGCTTAAATCTAAGAGAAGCAAAACGAAGAAAGGGAAACGTTGTGAAGTGCCATAAACTTATGGAGGGAAACGGCCAAAATCCTTGAGCAGCCTTCCGTCCTTGGACCCTGCTGGGCATGACATCAGAGTATGTGAGTGCTAATTGTCTCTCCAAGGATTTTGGGAAGAAGATGGTATTGGTGAGGAGTTCTAGAAAATTGTGTCAAGTAGAGTCTGCATTTATAGTACTTAAATTGCTAACCTTTTTTCAGAATTTACTCTTTTTACAAATGATACAGTTTTACTTATATGATAAATTTTCTTTTACCCAAAATCCAAACTATCACCCTCAAATATAGCGATGATGACATTCCTGATAGTGAGCCTGAGGCACAAGAGTTATTATAAGACATTAAAGTGTCTTCTTAAATATCAAAACCGAAAAGATTAATTTATATTCCCCACAGATTTACTGTTGTGTATTTTGTTGCACTCTAATTCTTTGAAAGTCGCTAATCCATGTAGGGAAGGGGGAAGGTATCAAGCATTTATTAAGTACTAGGTACTGTGCTAAATTGTTGCTCAGTCATGTCTGACTCTTCACGACCCCACTGGCAAAGATACTGGGACGGTTTGCTATTTCTTTCTGAAACTCATTTTACAGATGAGAAAACTGAGGCAAATAGGGTGAAATAACTCACCCAGGGCCACATAGCCAGTAAGTGCCTGAGGCTAGATTTGGACTCAGGAAAATGAGCCTTCCTAACCCCAGGCCTGGTATTCTATCCACTGTGCCACCTAGTGCCCACTGTGCTTTATAATACTTTCATAATATAATACTTTACAAATATCTCATTTGATCCTCACAACCACCCTGGGAGATAGGTGCTATTATCATCATTATTTATTTTCCAGTTGAGAAAACTGAGGCAGGCAAAGGTTTAGGGGTTTGCCCAAAATCACATAGCTAGTCATTGTTTGACAACGGATTTGAAATGACGACTTCCTAACACTCTGTACTTGATCCGCTCTGCCACCTAGCTGTCAAACTGAGACATAGCATATGTGGTAGAGAAACCACATGGTAGACCTATGATTTAGGCTTCTCATTCACAGAT